AAAAAATGCCCACGGGTCTTGTATTTTGGGATGGATAGTAATTGAATAAACAACGGGTTTTAGACCTGTTCAAGAAAAAAATAGAATAGACATAAAAATTCCGAGAAGACGCAGTTGCTAATAAAATTTTGATCAATGAGTATAATACTGCGATAAAGTACATCTTGAAAATTCTGCTAAATTTTTCTTTTATTACTCGAGCTTTCGGTACGTTACTACGACCATTGTCAAGAGCGAATAAAGTTAGAATAGATAGTTGAAAATTCATACAGTTGTACAGAAAGGAAGAAGAAAATACTTCAATGAATAATACATTTGAATGCGCATTTGAATTTTGAATTTGTTAAATTACAAAGCTTGTCAAACCTTCTGCCCATTCTGTTGTATTATTAGATTGCAACCATTTATGTATGCGACAATTGTAATGTATGATTAGCTCGTTCGACTAATCCTTGTGTTTGCGGATGACAGGGTCTACCATTTGTAATGACTAAATCTTTCCACGTATTTCTTAAATCCTTCAAAAAACATGTTTGTAAGTTAATACAAAAATGTATGTTAGTGTGTGCGCTGTTTTTACCTTAATAACTTGTGCGACGAATTCTTTCCCATTATCAGACTGTAAAATTCGAGGTGGGCCAAAGCTATAAAATTGATCCAAAAGCTTTAAAACAACTGGTGCTGCTTCTTTTGTTTGTAATGGATATGCCCACGAAGATTTGGTAAAATGATCTTTCACATGTAATATCCATTTGAATTCTCTATCTGGAGCACTATGCATGTCGATTAAATCCATTTGTACGCGTATCAGATATCCAACAGATATTATTGATTTACCTTAAAACGAAACAAAAATCAAGTTCATTCTAGTTGCAGTTAAAAAAGTTAATTAAGCCACAGTCCGTACCTGCTATTGGCTTTGGAAAAGCTTGTCTACTATTATAAACATCACATTGTTTAAGAAATAATGTTACTACATCATAGGGTATGTATGAATATTGTTCTTGAATCTAAATATCAGAAGTCGTCATTTTAATGTTTAGTTTTAATTACCTTGAAAACCTACTTCACTCCTACTTCACGGTTTTGTCCCGTCCATGATGACCAACACGTTCGAGACATTCCTTAATTTGTGTATACAATTGCTCATGCACAGCAACAGGGCGGTTACTCTTGATACCATATACCACGTCAACATCAATTTTCACTAATTTAAAATCTTTTTTAACCCAGAATTTAAATTGTGAGTTACCTTTACTATATTTAAAAACTGTTATGATATCATCATATGTTCCTTGTTGTGTTATGTACTCTGATTAGCTTATGCTATGTAAAACGTTCTGTTTAAAATGAACTTATTAATTAATTAGTTTGGTATATTTGAATAAATTATCAATATCAGTATGCTAAATATCAATCAAACACTCGTTAGGGGAGTTTAAAATTGCTCTATAGGGGAAGTCAAAATTTTGATTTCTCCTAGTGAACTCAAAATTTATATTTATTAGTATTATTATATGATACTGTTCCTCGTGTGTGCCTTACTTATTTGCTACTAACGAAGAAATTCGAAAGCGCTATAACACTCCACACTGATTTTTTTCTCTTCTGATTTTTTGTTAATAAAAATTTCGAAAATCAGCTTAAGATTTCCATTCACAGGCGTACACAAGATAGGACCGCATCGCCACTTATCATCGTCATCCAATCCAAGAATGATATAATGGGAATTTATATTCTCGATTTCATTCTGGTTCAAGATTACAGACTTAAACCAACTCAAAATTTTGATTTACCCTAGGGGAATTTTAAATCGCCCTAGATTTTGATTTTCACTGCAACATATATATGCGTTTTTGTGTAACAGAAGGTATGTTCTGTCTTTGTATAAACTTTTCTTAACTAAACGTTAGGCGAGAAAGATCTTAGTTCACCCGGGAACCTAACCGCAAAGTCTTCGTTTGTGACGGAGTAGATTAAGAGTTCGTGAGCACTGAAGGAACATTCTAAAATATTGAGGGATTGTTCTGTTTCAAATAAGAGTATTGTCGACAGAAAGCAGACTACTCTTAAGCTTCTCTCAATTCAATCATCAGGTGAGTCACAAGGCAGCACAACTTTTTCTCCTCTTTTTTCTGTTCTTTGTCATCACTGTTATGAGTCATACGTACAAAAATGATGTCATTTCATGTTTTTATTTTTATTTCGACACGCGATTAAGTTTGCAGCGATATTGTGCAAGAAGCCTTTATAATCTATTTTTCGAATTATTTATCAATTGTGCCTGACTACACGAAAGAATCCATTTTATGAAACAGAGATCTTGAGTAAGCATAAAGCCACATTCCTATAACTCGGCAAAGCTTCAACCTTTCTAGCTATAATGTTTACCATAGACCTTTTAGAAGACAAGATTTCATCCAAATCGGTAGCAAAACAAAATAGGGTTTTTAAACAGGGGTGACTTAACAGCTATAAGTGTGCGAAAAACATTAAATAAGAGGTAAACTACATCAAAGAAATTCACTGGTACCCGTCTTTCTTGTAATTATTGACAATTTTTTTGTATGGTGAACATTTTTAGTAAAAATAACAGGATTAAAGTCACCCTTTTAAACATATTCGTAAAGTAACAACTCTATTTATTTGAGACGTATACTATAGAATTTGATCAGTCGAAATGATCAGTGTGTTTAAACATCAGTAGAAATAAAACAGAAAAATGATACAGAAAACGGGGAAAGAACAGAGAAAACATCTCTATTTCGACTGAAGAATGATGAATCATTGTCAACAAATGTTTAACTGAAAGCTTTGTTGAGAGCACAAGTATTTTCCTTTTTTCGTGTGAAACAAGTAAAAATGAATGGACTTGCTTCGTGTTAAAAAAAAGAAAAAGACGTATACAGGTTTCAGTTAAACATTTGTTGACAATGATTCATCATTCTTTCGTCGAAATAGAGATGTTTTCTCCGTTCTTCCCCCGTTTTCTGTATCATTTTTCTGTTTTATTTCTACTGATGTTTAAACACACTGATCATTTCGACTAATCAAATTCTAAAGTATACGTCTCCAATAAATAGAGTTGTTACTTTACGAATATGTTTAAAAGGGTGACTTTAATCCTGTAATCATCACTGCAAAAGAGTTCCAGTTATCGTCAGTATTAATGAGTAACTTGAGATACTCTACAAAACGGTATCTTCAAAATGAAGTTTCGATTTAAAAAGCTGCAGGTCTCTTGAAACCCTTGTCTACCTGAACCTGGCGTAGAAACCAACCAGAACCACAAACATACCTTATATTCGTGATCAGCATTACTGATTACATATGTTTCGATGCTTTGTATTGGAAAAAACGGTTTAACGCAAGGGGCGATACACCGACATTTCCACGAACGACATTACCGCAAATCGCCATTATGTCGACATAGACTATAAGAATTTATTCCCCAGCTATGTTAGGAACCGAAAAATTTTCGTATGGTCTATGTCGACATGCACTAATGGATTATGTGGACATAGATCATAGGCGGCAAATTTTCCATAGTACACATTGGGTATTGATAACTAAACTACTTTTCCAACTCACTCTCACACTGCCTTCACCACCCGCAACTCCCCCCACACACTGCCAGAAATACCCAACGTGTACTACGAAAAGTTTGCCACCTATAGTCTATATTGACATAAACTATAAGAAAATTTTTCAATCCCTAATATAGCTGGAGAAAAATTTCCTATAGTGTATGTCGACATAATGGCGGTTCCACAGTGGGCATCCAAGCGGACATTAGGCCGAAAATTCAAATAATTCGTATATCAAATATAAATAGTGTAAAATGTAGCCCTTGAAATTCTCTATCGAATGGTGTATAAATGTCTATTGTGAAAATGAATACNAAAAATTTCCTATAGTGTATGTCGACATAATGGCGGTTCGCAGTAATGTCGTATCACGTATGGCAGTTCCCTTGTTGGCCGAAAACAGTTTTGATCCTGTCCGAATTATTCTAATAAATAAGCTTTATATAATACAGAGAACAAATAAAGAAAATCTTTAAAAAATGTTTCGCTGCTGTCCACCGTGTTTTGCTTCAGATCCCCAAAAAAGTCTGGTTTTACTGTGTTTCTGGTGTCTCAGAACTGTTTGGTGGCCTGTCTTTAATGCATATTGGTAAAGATGACTTTTATGCACTGTTCTATGAATCTTTATTTTTCATGTAGAAAATATTATCTAAATTCTTACAGATCATAAACATTCAATGGCAACCTCACAGGTGTTTAACATTCTTGCTCATGGTGACTCGATTACTCGCGGCTACTACTCCTACGGAATGCAATATCACCCTTACACCACCAAACTACTTGAACAGTTAAACACACATTTTCAATCGTCCAATATAACATTTAACATTACGACACAAGGCGTCAATGGAGAAAGAACGCGTTCAATGCTGAAAAGATTACATGAAACTTTTAAGACGACAACAACAAAATATGATTGCCTCATTGTATTAGGCGGACTAAATGATTTGCAAAGTCTATCGACAAAAGAAATAGCGAGCAATATTTGTGAAATGGCCCATATTGGCCGACAACACGTTCGAGAATGTTGTATCGTTATATCAGTGCCTAATTGTTATCCGGATTTATCATATGCAAAGTATCGCGACTCGAAATGTGACGTTAATCGTCGATTAAAAGAATATGTTGAAAAAATCAAAGATGAATCAGTGCCTCGCGTCTATTTCCTCGATTTAAATGAAAACAATTTGAACATAGACTCGATGGATGAAGACGAGAAAACGTTAATCTATGACGACTCTATTCATTATACACCCGAAGGTTACAGTCGATTAGGAACGGCTGTGTTCAATGTAATCAAATCACATTTGTCAAAAGGATAATTATTATTTTGGTGCTGTTTTCTGCTCCTCGAATGCATCTGTCATATTTTTTTGGTCTGAATTTAAAATATTCATATTTCATATTTTGGATTTAATGCTGTTAGCCACCTGGTTTAGACCGAAGACCAGCGGTGAAAAAAAATATATACAGTCGTATTTGTTTATATTCAAAAATCGAGTTAAAATTTTTTGAAAATAAAAGTTGAATCGGAATATAGTGTGTCCTAAACTTTTCAAAAGTTCATCCGTACGAGTATAAGATTTTCCTAAATACCGCATGAGCATGTAGATCAATACACTTAAGTCGTTATAACCACATTTTTCAATGCACATTTGTACTAAGTCTGCCATTTCAGACAGCACAGATTTATCAGCGAAGTTAATTCTTGTAGACTCATCGTCCACTAAAAACTCAGCGTTACCAAACAATCTTTCATTTCCACGTCAAAATCAGTTGGAAGTTTTATCCCTTTTTCGATTAGCGCTTTACTGTTGCTCATTTTAACTGTTTGGCTCTCGCTATTGGTGCGTCATGGCGCAGCCTACTGTTCAAAAAATCTAAACTGAGAACTAAACGTAGACACAGTAGAATCATGTAGAAATTCACGTTAATACGCGAAAAGTTTCCACGGCTTAGGGTTTTATGGAGACTCTCTTGAAATCCTCTATAGATCCCAACGATATGAGCATCGGATTCCCCGTCTTTTTTCACCTAGAAATCGAAGTTTTTAGCTTCTTAACTTGAGATTTCTCTGAGTTATTCGAGGACGACGTGAAGGATTGTGTCACCCTTCAAAAAAATGTGATTTTCTCTGGAAGGAAAAAAATAAAAACAAAAGCCCACGTCAGTTTTAGCGTGGGCATATGACAGTTCCAATGTCATATGCCAGATAAGATTTAAAAGTAAGATTTAAAAGTTTATCTTTTATCCAGTCGGAGTTATTAACTTTGTAATCGAAAGATGTTGCATTTTCACGCCCCCCGCCCTTCCCTAGAAAATGGGCCATACATCGATTCAGTGGTAAGCGAACGGTTTCGCGCCTTACAAATGACGGGGCGACTATCTGATGGAATCGGCCCATGCCTGAATTTCATCGACTAATCAAAGGCTAGATGTAGATTGAAAAGGGGAATATTTCTAAGTACTTACTAGGCCTTCGAACCACTCTCAGAAAAAAATTCATCGAATCAAATTTGATGACGTTTCTACTGCATCTGATATATATTTAGATCGTATTTTTGGATCTTTTCATTCTCGAACGTGTTGTCGGCCAATATGGGCCATTTCACAAATATTGCTCGCTATTTCTTTTGTCGATAGACTTTGCAAATCATTCAGTCCGCCTAATACAATGAGGCAATCATATTTTGTTGTTGTCGTCTTAAAAGTTTCATGTAATCTTTTCAGCATTGAACGCGTTCTTTCTCCATTGACGCCTTGTGTCGTAATGTTAAATGTTATATTGGACGATTGAAAATGTGTGTTTAAATAGCATATCAAGCATTGAAGTATGCATCGGATAACTCATTAGCTCCAGTGAAAATCGTATGTGAACCAAAACTACAAAAGCAAAATCAAGGGATGGCTGTTATTCAACAACTCTTTAAGTATATTGAAGTTGATTTTCGTAGAAATTACCCACACTTAGGAATGAAAGCCCTGGGATTTGAACATTGGTGGATTAATCGCAACGGGGATTTAATGGGAGTAACTAAGTGTATCGATATGTATGTTTATTTATGTGATTCAAAAAATTATCCGTTGTCAATAAATAATGTTCAATTAAAGCCTATATTACCAAAACATTTACCTGTGCAACTTTCAGTGATGATAAAATGTGTTGCTAACTGTATTTCAGTTGACGAAGTTAAGACTGAATTAGAAAGTCAATTCACAAAAATTTTTGCTATTGTTGACATTTTTGGAAGTAAAAATTTGAGAAATGGACATGTACGAATGGATCTAGCGTCAAAAAGTGAATATGAAAATATACTAAACTCAGGCAAAGTTTCGATTTTTGGACAATTGTATGATGCCTACGAGTTTCTCTCACCACCAAAATTATTAATATGCTCTAAATGTAACTCACCTGGGCATACGAAGAAAAACTGTGATGTGACTTTGAAGTTTGTCGAAGATATGGCAGTGATCGTTTAAATGGTGATCACATCAACTGTATAATTAAATGTCATCACTGTGAAGGTGAGCATCTGTCGACGAATTATGTATGTCCAATTCTAACACAATATCGAAAAGATTTAGTAGCTGAGCTAAAACGAAGACCAGATCTAATTCCAAAAGATGTGCAACTCTTTATCCCGGTGAACGACAAAAACAACAGAACTTTAGGAAATAATAATAATAGCAATTTGAAACAACAAAAATTGCAAGAATACAATAATTATACGAATATAAATCCTTGGACTAGTGGTAATTTAGCAGTCACGACTCCAACATATAAACAACATCAAGAGTTTAGTTTGAAAATGAAAATGATAAATGATGAATTAGAGGAAATAAAACGTGAATATGCGAAAGAAAAAATATCATTTAAACAGAGATACGACAAGCAATT